ATGTGACATTCATGAACAAATAGAATAATTTGAACGTCTCTCTGCGGTAAATACATGAACTTGTTATAATGAATTGCAATATTTTCATAAGTGGAGCTTTCAAAGAAAGATAATTATTCATCACCCAGGCTCTAAGGCAAAACATTACCACGGGCCATTCTTTCAGTTTATATTACATGTTTAAAATCAAGACTATTTGATGATGATCGTACCATTTCACAGAGTTGCCTGCCTTGAACAACAATAAAATATATAATCACATAAAGGTCATCATATATTTGATTTGAAAAAACAAGAAAATTATAGTGTATGCACATTTCTAGGTAGTAATGGCTAATTGTTCATGTCATTACTGGTTTCAGATCATCAAGCACCATGGACATGTGCTTCTTTCTCCTTTAGGCATTCAACTTTTGTTAGATGTATTAGATTATTACCAATAATGAGGTGTTGGGTTTTATGAAAATAATGGATCAAGGGACCATCTATAAAGTCTGCTTCAAAATATTTAAGCCAGCTTTCACTTAATCAACAGGAGCCATCCGCTGAATTACTGAGGTTTGATTAATGGTTTAAAAAAGTATTTAACAGACCTATTTGCTCTTTTCTTTAGACATGCGACCACTTGGGGTTAGAATAACTAGACATAACCTTTGTTTTCATTGTTATGCTGACTATGTTTAAAACAAGTAACATCGCTGCTGAGTTGCTTCGATAACCTCCAGCTGTGGCTCTCTGCTGATTTCCTGCTCTTAAACGAAGAGAAGACAGAGCGCATTACCCTCCAAACCTCCCTGGTATTTACATGCCTGATCTTGGTCATTTGGCCTCCAAAAACAAGCTTCATGTTAGAAACTTTTGCATCATCTTTGACATTGAACTAAAATTTGACAAGCAGATGAGCACAGTGGTTAAAGCACGTTTTTACCAACTCCAGGCTGTGTCCAGGCTCAAGCAATTTCTAAATAGCTCAGATCTAGATAAAGTAATTGACGTATTCATTGGCTCATGCCTAGACTATTGCAATGCACTATATGTTGGTCTGTCCAAGTCTTCCTTTGCTTGTCTTCAGCTAGTCCAGAATTCTGCAGCATGCCTCCTCACGAACACATCTAGATGCAACCACATTACCCCATCCTCTCAGCGCTGCATTGGCTCCCTGTGTCCTTTAGAACATGATACAAATTCATTCTGTTTACATACAAGTATATTCATGGCCTAGCCCCCACCTACCTCTCAGACACTTATGCCTGCATCGACAGACAAGGACAACAAGATAATCAAACAAGTTTTTCCTGGAACTTCCTCAGTCCAGGTATAAGCATTGGGGTGAAGGCTTTTTTTCAGTGGGAGCCCCTAGACTCTGGAACAAACTCCCAACTGACTTGCGTCAAACTAATTGCCACTTTTTAAAGCTAACTCAAAACATATTTTTACCCAGCACGCTCTTCACTTATATGGTTTTAGTTGTTTTTCATGACGGCCCTCTCATTTAGTTTTGCGTCATATTTTATTTTAGTTATTTATTTTAAGGTTTCAACCCTTCCAGGGTTGTGGAAAGTGCTCCATAAATAAACTTGAGCGATCAAACTAGAAATCAGCACATGTTCCTTAGTGTCAGACTCAGGTCTTCAGGCCAAATCTGGCACACATTGTATTTACATTTTTCCTGTGAGATCATACTTCAAATGTTGATTAGAACTGGATGCCTAGCACAAATGCTGCCAATTGTACAAATCTCACAATGCCAAGCACCCCCACCTTTTCTGTTAGCTGTCATTAGCATCCATGCTACCAGTCACAAGAAGGGTTTGGCTGCAGACTAACTGAAAAAAGTCAACTCATATCAAACTTGCCCGCTGTTTAGCCAACTCTGAAGGCCCAAAATCGAGATTTCAACCTCTCACTAATTTGCTTGTGGTTGAAGTGGAAAGAGCACCAAACAACCTCCAAAGTCAACTGATTAAACTTAATCCTAATTTTTAATTTTGGCCCAGGGGGAAGTTTGAGTTTGACACCCCTGCATTAGTAGATGTTTGGGGTGACTAGTTTCCAGTTTAGTTGATATGTATAAGAGATCCTTTTATTGGACACCCCACCCCAAACAAAACAAGACAAAACTTTTTTTACCCTTCATACACTCGCCTAAAGGATTATTAAGAACACCATACTAATATGGTGTTTGACCCCCTTTTGCCTTCAGAACAGCCTTAATTCTGTGTGGCATTGATTCAACAAGGTGCTGAAAGCATTCTTTAGAAATGTTGGCCCATATTGATAGGATAGCATCTTGCAGTTGATGGAGATTTGTAGCCTAGCCTGCCAGACTTGTCCTCTGTTTAATTCTGCACAGAGAAAGAGTCTGGTAACTCACAGGCAGAGAGGCACTTGAGAGGTGGGACTAGGCAGCTCAAAAATTACCAATCAGAAAAAAGACGGAAATCCCAATTGTACCGCATGACGCTGTAGTTTTCTAGCTGTAGTAAAAGTGGAGTCTGACGACAGCACAAACATCTTTGTTTAGAAGAAAGGCTTTTAGCGCTTCTACTTGTTGTCAAGGGTGGATTTAGGACTGAAAAAAATCTGGGGATTAACACACACACACAAACGCACGGGCTTTCACACACACACACACACGTGACGCGCTAGTCAACATCATATATATTTGTCGTGTACCACATAATTTTTAATCTGAAGCTACATATTAAACATTTTCAGGGCAGAGTATTGTTCCTGTTAGTGTTTAGAGTGAGATGATAGTAAATATTCCCTTTCTTTCTCCATCAACTTTACCTGATAGTAAGCTAACTTTAGGCAAACCAGCAGCACAACAAATATTTTCAAATAAGACTCACAAACCTGAGTCAACACCAGTCTCATCAAAGCTGGGGTTCTGTCGTACTTTTGGTCTAAAAAACGTCCTTATGTCCATCTTCACTCATGTGTTTCAGGCAGAGTGTAGAAGAAGTCGGCTGCTGAAGGGCTTCTTCTTCAGTGGTGGAGGCTCAGGCAGGCTGTATACAAACTACTGCCAGCTGCTTCCTCTCTGTTGGACTTCGGTACTGCATGTTACTTCCATGTTTTAGATCCGGGGCTTTTCATAAAACATCCGGGGCTTCAGCCCAAGTAGCCAGGCGTAACGCCGCCCCTGCTTGTTGTGGTTTTAAAGACATTTTCAAATAATTTAGAACAAAGGAAAGAGCCACAGCTAACTCCACTTCAGTCACCATGTTTATGACAAACTCTGCGTTATGGTGTGTGATGTACGATATTCAGCGCTGATTGGCTCGGTTAGAATTCTCACGGGGTGGGGTTATTTGAATAGGAGAGTTCCCAGACCCTTCCTCTGTGCAGAATTAAACAGAGGGGGAGTCTGGCAGGCCAGGTTAGGAGATTTGTGGGATGCACATCTAATTGGCACTAAGGGGCCTAAAGTGTGCCAAGAAAACATCCCCCACACCATTATATCACCACCACCAGCTTGCACAGTGGTAACAAGGCATGATGGATCCATGTTCTCATTCTGTTAACGCCAAATTGACTCTACCATTTGAATGTCTCGACAGAAACCACGACTCATCAGACCAGGCAACATTTTTCCAGTCTTCAACTGTCCAATTTTGGTGAGCTCATGCAAATTGTAGCCTCATTTTCCTATTTGTAGTGGAGATGAGTGGTACCTGGTGGGGTCGTCTGCTGTTGTAGCCCATCCGCCTCAAGGTTGTGCGTGCTGTGGCGTCACAAATGCTTTGCTGCATTCCTTGGTTGTAAGGAGTGGTTATCTCAAAGTTGCTCTTCTATCAGCTTGAATCAGTCAGCCCATTCTCCCCTGATGTCTAGCATCAACAAGACATTTTTGCCCTCAGGACTGCCGCATACTAGATGTTTTTCTCTTTTCACACCAGTTTTTGTAAACCCTGGAAATGGTTGTATGTGAAAATCCCAGTAAAGTAACTGAGCAGATTGTGAAATACTCAGACCGACCCGTTTGGCACCAACAACCATGCCACGCTCAAAATTGCTTAAATAACCTTTCTTTTCCATTCTGACATTCAGTTTGGAGTTCAGGAGATTGCCATGACCAGGACCACACCGCTAAATGCATTGAAGCAACTGCCATGTGATTGATTGATTAGATAATTGCATTCAGGAAAAGTTGAACAGGTGTTCCTAATAATCCTTTAGGTGAGTGTATAAATATTGTTGCATTATAAACTTGAGAGAATTGAACAGTGAATTCATTAGAACATTGTGGCACATTAGCACTGACGCCATCCTAATGGATGAACTAGTCTGACTAAAATGCTCATGTAGGGTTTTGATTGGTTTGCTGTTTTATAAGTACAGAATGTTCTGGTTTTCTTATTTTTGATTTTTTCCCCACACAAGCAATTGTATTGATTCAATATACTTAGAACATCCTGTTATTGATGCTGCAGAACAGTAATATTTGTTCATTTAGTTACAAACAGAACATCTTTATCTGTGACACTCCTACCCAAAACCTATTTCCAGCTTTGACTTCTTGATATTTTACTTCATAGAAAATCTTGCAGTAATAAGAACTTTTTCTTCCTAGAGTGAAACTTTCATGTTTTAAAAGTATTATTTTCTTTCTTGCTGGTAGATATTTTCAGTATGTCATTATATTGACTCATGTCAGGCACACTTAAAAAAGGAAGTCAGTGTGCAAAGAAAATTGAATTGGTTTACAAAAGGAAAAAAGTTTTTATTAACCCCCATCTATACAGGTCTCGGTTTCAGTCTGTATTATTAGGTCAAAGCCCTTTACAGATTCCTTTTTTTTATTATTCTTTTGTACTGAACCACTTTGCAAGTGGAAATCCACCTTTTGCTGCAGAATAAATTCACCCAATGGGACACCAGAGTCCTGACCTTGTTCTTGTTGTAAGTAATAATTGGCTCTACTGCTAAATTAAACTCTTCACTTCCTGTCTGTATGCCAGTGGCAATATGTTTTTAGTAAAACAATGCACTCATTTCCTTTTATCATTGTTTTTTTTAATTGTTGATTAAAATGACAAGCGTGTTTTCTCTATATAAATAACAACCACAAAAAGTAACATACAAGACATGGGTATATGAAGCTGAAAGCTGTCTGATCACAATATGCTCAGGTACAGGATGAAAAGAATGACGGGTATTTATTTTCATTCTTAAAAAGGAGGAATATGCTGAGCATTTGGTTTTAAAGAAGAGTCCTCTCAATGATGGGAAACGAATGGACTCACCGTCAGCAGCTATGTACAGGTCAGATACCATCACTACCATCAACTCCAAAGGTGTTAAAAAGAATCCAAACGAAAATATACATAAGAAAGTTTTGACAGGAAAGACAATAACTAAATCATATGTACACGTTAAAGCTCAAACAAAATTTACGATACAAATTGCCCATTGTGATTCAGAGTCGGAGGGTGGGAATGCATAGAAATGTGTCCAACAGGAAACTGTTTCAGTGTCGTACGAGCTACAAATCTACTGTAGAAGCATCTAAAAACAGTTGCTTCTATCATTCAATCTCAAAAGACCTTCTGCACAGTACAACTACCCCCCAGAGTGCTAGCTCACCATTACTTCACATTTAAAATGCCCTTTTGAAATATACTGCCAAACAGTGCACGTCTACCAAACTCATCTAGTATCTCTCATTTGGTCCTGGAATTTTGAAGTTATAACACATTTTCGTTCATTTGTCATGCAATCTATTGACTCTTTGAAATACATTTAATTTTGTGTATAAAGCTGGTACGACTGGAGTTAAATCACCAAAACCTTTCATTTATCTGCTTTAGACTATCAAAGAAAAGAAAAATAAACTATAGTCTTCAAAACCTTCCAAAGCTGGTTATAATTTCAGATCAAAGGTTGCGGCGAGCACAGCCATAATGAACCACTCCATCTCCACTTCAAACAGGATGGGATCACAGCAAGGGCTCATTTTAATTAGACTGAGTCGACTGCAATGGACGGACAGACAGACGAGTGGCAGGTTTGTAAGGAACCACACTCATCGTGAATGAAGGGGTCAAAGAAAGAGGTGCAGTCTGCAGCCACACTGGGAATAATTATGCTCATTCTTCAGATGGAGGGAAATTTTCCTTGAAGGCACAGGAAAAAGTTGGGGACAGGTAACTTAAATCACAAGACTGAGTCTGGCCATCGACGTTATATACAGTGCACTATAGGAGTTTATATAGTTTTGTCAATTCACTGCAGGTTGTCAAATTATCTACAGCATTCCCACATATTTAGTAAAATCAATATCAGTGCATACACTTACAAGTTCATACCAGTTTCCTGGAAGATGCCACTACCAAATGACTCAAGGATACCAGGTGGAATTTAAAAAAAGGTTGATGTTTTAAGACAGTGTAATTAATTATGCCTCTCAAGTAACTTTTGGATGCCCGTCACCAGTGGACTAACACATCAAATTGGTTTCTGAATCTGTGGCCTTCAGTGTCTTGCTCTTACAAAATTAATCTGCAACAGAATTTAGTGCAACAGTACCTCTGAAGGAAAACAAAGCTCAGCAGGTCTCAATGCCCTAGCCTAAGAATCCCCGACCCAAACCACGACGTTGCCTTTGAGGATGTCGGTTATCTCACAGTTGAGCTTGTTAAGTCGTCCATCCAGGATGAAGAGGGACTCTCTGGATGGTGTTGTGAGGTACTGTCCAAAAAGTCCACTACTCACCATGACCCTGTTTCTGCTGCTCCACGGCCAGTCAAATGACTTGATGGCCTCTTTCAAGCTCTTGATCATCTTGACTTTGCCAGTGCTCAGTTCCACAAACAGCGCATCAGTTTGACGACCGGAGCTGCCGAACACATTGTATTGGTGGATCTCTGTGAAGGAGCGCTGGAAAGCCACGTCAGACAGATGTAAGTTGGTGTGGATGTCGAAGGGTTCCTGGATCTGTCCCTGGTCAGAAATAGTTTGAATCCTCATCAAGCCATCGCCATCGTCAACCGTTACCAGATAGCGACCATCCGGAGACACGTAGGGTGTGCCGGTGACATCGTGATTTTGACCTATCACGCCATCTGTAACACTGTCTAAGATGAGCTGGGGCTGCGTGGCGCCCGTGGAGTCTGTGTGGCAGTTGATAAAGTAGTAGCCAGCTAGATGGGTGTAGACTACAGATTTGGGGATGCAGTTATACTCCCACAAACTAATGTTTTTAACATAAGACATGGTTTCCAGGTTGATTTTGTAGAGGAAAGGCTCATTCCGATGAAGGATAAGACCAAATCTGTTAGGAAGAGAAAAATTAAAGGTCAATTAATGAAACTGTATTGCAATATGTGACATTAAAATGTTGATGCCTAGAAACAAAATATAATGGCCATATTTTGCACAGTACACATTCATGACCCCTTCACTGTCATGAGACTTTTTTGTAGGACACAATCACATTTTTCAAAAGCTGAGAGGTCCAGTATACAGGTATTTGTTTTAATAACTTTTTACATTCTCTGAATATCATATAAAGCAACCAAAGGATACAGGTTTGCATTAGTGTTGGGTGACTCATCTAAATTTTAAGCATTCATATCTTGTGACATTCACTTAACAACAAATTTTCAGCTCTCTACAGCCATAGATAATGTCATGATAGCTTACTCCAGATGTGTTGGCTTGTAAAAGGTTTAACATTATCTAAGTACGAGATTTTGTTTTGAACAGAGACAGCATCAAATCTAGGAAAGACATTTTGTTTTAAAGTTGCTTTTGTGGTGAGATGGTGCAGGTTCTGTGCAGCTTGTCAAGACACTCACCAGCATCAAATTAGTGTGCAAGCATTCTGTCTTTGAACTGTTTGATATTCTAGAGCACATTTTCTCCAACAGATGATGGCATACCTCTAATGAACAGCAATGTTTAGATAAGTTTGAGTTTTTGGTTTGTAAGTGTTGGTTCCAGCTAATATCAGTGCTTCGCATTTATGATAGAGTGAATAATGTGATCACTGTGGTGAGAAATTCTGTTTTGTTCAACTCATGAGCTGTGTTGTTTTAATTACTACAGTTAAAATTAGCCTTCTGATTTTAAATAGAGTTTCTAGACTTAAAGGGGACAATCTTGTTTGTTTTTCTTGTTTGTGAATAAAGACAGCTTGGGTGGTCAAAAGTAGAATGCCAAAAAAGTCAAAGCCACAGGTGACCTACTTTTTAAGTAAATTAGAAAGTTTAAAAATGCCAGAGAAAAACATATTTTCTGAGAAACCTCTCATAAAAACGTCACAATGTGGAGCCCTTCCTCATCCAATCTGCCGTCTCTAGTGTCAGAGGCCTTCTGGTTTAAACCAACCAATCAGCAAGCAGCTCATTAGCATATTCATGTCCTAGCCAAGTGGAAGGGGTACATAGCTCTTCACAGCCAGGCTGATTTATGGGTTTAGAATGGCCTGTATCAGGGCTCCTGGGACAGATGAAAGCCAAAAGAAAATTTCTTATATTCTTAGAGAGCCAAAGCAGTGTTTTAGCTGATAAACTGCATTCTTTGTCCCCTTTAACATTATTGGAGTGGAGTGCTTTTTATGTTCTGAGAATCATTGCCTTAGGCATTCTTGTTGAATTTAAAGAACAAATTGTAAGTTAGAGACTCCCATGAACCAATTTTTAGAGAAACAATAGACACTTGTTTAAAAAATATTTTGTACACTTTTTGTGAGAAAATTTTAATTTTAATTTTTTTTTTTAATTTTTTGACAAACCAAGTGATGTCAGCTGAGGGAGTCCTGTTAGCTTATTCCAGAGAAAACTATGGATTCTAATGCCGGCTCTGACACAGAGGAAAATTTACATATTTATATTTCTACTTCTAATGGACCAAAACCATAAAGTTCTGAGTTTGCTGCATGCTTCAGAGAGCAGAGACAAACCAGAGGGAGAAACCATCGGCCAAAGCAGAGGCATTGTGCTACAACGTGAGGAGCCGGATCCGACCCAGACACCAGTGAGCCAGATGAGCTGGTATTTTTAAAAGCTGCACATGATCCTTTCCTGGATGTCCACGGTAGTTATGTTCTGGTTCCGACCCAGAAACCAGCTCGACTGGCTAACTGGTATTTTTAAAAGCTGCGCATCCTCTCCTGGTGGTCCAGGCAGCTGTTCTGATCCGGTTCTGACCAGGAAACCAGCTGGCCCACTGAGCCACGCGTCTTTATTTTGTTGTCAGTTCTGACGGTGATCTGAGCTCCAAAATCCGTATTTAATTTTTTAAAACCCGCCACAGGTCTCCGGAGCCCAGCGCGGACCTCCCTGTCCTGGTACTGACAGATGTGGGCCACAGCAGTCCGTCTTTTCAGCAGCACAAAACACCCTCAGACACGGAAATAGAGGTGTTGTTTCTCTTATTTGGAAACCTGTGGACTCAATTTCCCGACAGGCTGGAGGTGGTACAGCCTTCACAAACTATAGTTTATCAAAATGAACACAATCCAAAACTAGTAAACACACACCGACTCGATAACATGACCCCTCTACCCTAAAACTACCCACTTTCCACACTGAGCTGAGGCAGCACCGAGCTTCTTACTCCCTTTGGTTACGTCAGAGGTTCAGATTTAGAAAAAAAGTGTGTTTTTAGAAGCTTTGCTGAGAAAGGCCACTTTTTTTTACTAGAAACACTGCTGTTATGTATTTTAAAATGAAATATCCACAATAAGCATTTCAAATAGTATTTTTTTTGCTAATTTGCTCTTTAATTCAGATACTATGGCAGATTTACACAATAGCAGTGTGCAGGTGAAGCTAGAAAATAATATAATATGATGCAAAAGTTTGTTTATTTCAGTAAATAAACTTAAAAGGTGAAACTAATGAGATCATCACATGCCTAGCCACATATTTTAAGCTTTTATTTGTTATAATTGTGGTGATTACTGCCTACAGTTTACAAAAAAACCCATATCTAAAATATCAGACAATTAGAATATTGCATGAGATCAATAAAATAGTGATTTTATTCTTATGTACTCGGGGCTTGGTTTGGACCCCTTTGTGCTTTTACTGAAATAAAACTTTTGCACGATGTTCTAAAGTTTTGAGTACCGCATGTATAAGATGAAAAAGGGGGCTGCATGGTGGTACAACTGGTATCACTGTTGCCCTGCAGTTTCAAAACTTGACTGCATGAAGTAAGAACGTGGTCTCTGTATGGGTGGGTTTTCTCCAGGTACTCCAGCTTGCTTGTTTGTAGGTACTAAATAGTTGTTTTCTGCATCATTATACAAATAATTTCTTCAAAAATCTCAGTGTGATTTCCTGGATTTTTTTTACACCCTGTCTCTTACAGCTGAAGTGTACCTATGATGATAATGACAGACTTGGCATCTTTTTAAGTGGAACAACATGCACAATTGGTGGCTACTAAATACAGTAATTTTTTCCCCCTCACTGTGTTTTATTCTGTTGGGATATATTCAGAGCGGTTTGGACCAAACAACCCTTCATTCTGTATACTTCACCATACTCTGTCTAAATACATACAAACAAAATGTCAAAACTATGGTTTAAAATATAGTATTTCTAGCAACAAGAGTTTTACATGGTATTTATACACATTGCTGGAGCTGTAAAAACTGCCATACATTTTTTTGAAGACTCCATGCTGACATGCTACTCTCATGCACATTAGAAATATTGCAGTGGTGTATGTGGTCAAGGTTCAGTAAAAATGTGACTCATGACAAAACGAATCACTTAATGGCACATTACACTGTGACAGCAGAAATGGGGGTTTGTATGCAAAGAGCTGACAGGCTCCAATTAAACGAGAATACCAGGTGATCAATGCTGACAGCCACTTCAATCTTGTCATCATTTATCATCTTTTATGCTGTTTGAACAGCCAGCTGTCTGTATCTGTGAACTCAAAGTGCCCATCTGAAAGCTTCTGCACCTGTTATCATGATTCTGACTGCATCCACTGATGACGATTAGCAATAAGACATTGTTTTAGAAAACGTTTATTTTAAGTTTGCCTTTAAATGTTTGTTTTCATTGCAAAGAAGCAACATAATTCCCTTGTCCTTTCATTGGACAAACCCAAAATGTCTTTCATAAGTGGATGTTATTGACTGAGTAAATAAAGGCAGGGGGTGTGGTTTGATGTGAAAGTTAGTTTACAAAACTATGACTATAAATCTACAGCCAAAAAAAAAAAACAAAAAAACATTTCACTCATTAGTGCTCTGAACTGATGATTTATATGACCTTGTTACAACTTGGCTTGGACAATTGTTCAACATAGTGGTTCAAATGGCCAATCAATGTCTAATGTACTCAGTGTGACATATCGGTAACCCGCCAGGAAGAAGAAGGTCAATCTTGCAAATCCAGCCTTTATCTGGCACTGTTAAAATTGCTCTCTGAAACAATATTTCTTTATTCTCTCATGTTTGATCAATTAAAATTCATTGGCAGACTCGGATCGCTTTTCCTCCAGACTGACAGAGGCTGTTTGTTGTTTAACAGATATAAAAAATCTGCTCAGTTCTGATTAACAGCAGAAGTAATGATTTTGGACTCTGAGCACTTTAACCTCTATTGTAACGTTTGCTCTGCAGTTCAGTTGAACATCGTGAGACCGTTATAGAACATCGTTTCTTAAGTTATGCCTTTATCTCTCAGCTTCAGAGAGTATTAAATGCTGCTGGTGCCCTCTTTGCACTGGCTGCATGTTTTAAAATCTCTTAATGGCTTTGCCCCGCCTTACCTGTGTGAGCTACTACACACATACACACCCACCCCAGGTCAGCTGCTCCTGATTGTCACAAAGATAAATCATAAGCTTAGAGGAGACTGCACCTTTACTGCAGCATTTCCTAGATTGCAGAATGAGCTTCCTTTAAAAATCAGACAGGCCTTTGACACCATTTCAGATGTTTAACTAGTTTTATATCATTTTTATTATCATTTAAATTGCATTTTACTGTGTTTTATGTATTTGTTCTGTGTGCAGCACGTTGGCCCTGCCGGTGTTTCAAGTGCAATACAAATAAAGTTGGTTTGGCATCCTGTTTGGTGAAATATACATGAAACAGCTTTCCTGCCAACCTGGATCAGTTGTTTTCCCAACAAACATTAAACCGTAAGAACCTTAGACTATAGGTTACTTTAGATGCAATGTTGTTTCACCAGTTGTTAAACAAGCTCCAAACATGGCAGGATTTATTTAATGTAGCTGTTATTACACTGCTGTGCATATTGTACTTAAACATCAAATACCTATATATAAATAACTATTAACAATTATATTCAGCAATCTTTAAGCCACACTCAAGTTTTATAGTTATTGTCCAATATCAAAAACAAACTAACTTTCTTTCAGATTTTCTTTCAAATCTTTAAAAAATACTTGGGCTAAGAAAGCTAATTAGTGCATAAAAGAAGTGCATACTGCTTTTTAGAGGAAGAAAAATATGTCAGTTGTTTTAAACTTCTGTTGTAGTCTAACTAAAGTGTGTTTCATGACCAATTAGAAAGCTAGTCAGTAAAATGGTTGAATTATGGGGAAAATTAAACCTGAAGGAGCAAAAGTAGCTACCCCACCATTGACACCCTGGAATCCTGCAGACCTCCTGTTGCTCCCAGCCTTCCCATGGCATTAGCCAAGCCTCTGGGATCAGCTTTTCTGTTCATGTTCACTTTAGCTGTGACAGTTGCTGACGGCATGTAAGAGCGTTTTCAGGTTCGGCAGATACTGTATGACATTAAACATGTTGGCGCTTTTACTGCTGATGAACTAAAAGGCTGCAAAATGAGGTAATCTGTTCTCCAGCTGCTGCCATCATCCATCCCTTCATTCATTCAAAAACACTTTCTGGACTTGGGTGAGTGGTGTTACTTAAATCTGCATCCTGCAGCAAGATGGTTTTAAGATACGGAATAAATTAAGTCTCTAGGATCTAAGTAGTTCTTCAGTCTCAGAGGTGTTTTGCGACCAACATGTTTCTTTTTGATAAGGAGCATGGAGCATGTTTGAGCCTAGTTACTACCTTCTGCAGGGGGACGGGAATGGATTTTCTTTGCTTTCCCAACCCAATTCCATCGCAAAAAAACAGCTCTTGTCCCAATTCCAGACAGCAGGAAAAAAAAATTGTCCTATCCGAATCCCAATAACATAATTTCTACTCCCTCCCAGTCCCAGCAGGTGTTTTTAAGGTGTGGTAATTCAAAACAAAAAATCAAGGGGTTAAAAGGTGTTTCCATTCCATAACTGACAACTCCCAGAAAACTATTAAACTTCAGAATTCACTGACTGTGTTCTCATGGTGATACGGACATTGTCCTCCCTAATTTGCTTCTCAAACTCATCTGCGTTTCTTTCCATGTTGCTGCATATTGAGAGATGACTTTCAGCGCTGGTCATGTGATGTATAATGGCAAATCAGCTGCTAGTCAGATGTGAGAGTGTCTCACAAAAGACATTTTTGACCTTTACATAATATGCATATATTTACTGTGACAATTATCCATCCATCCATTTTCATCCGCTTATCCGGAGTCGGGTCGCGGGGGGAGTAGCCTAAGGCGAGAGGCCCAGACTTCCCTCTCCCCAGCCACTTGGGCCAGCTTCTCCGGGGGAATCCCAAGGCGTTCCCTGACCAGGTGGGAGACATAGTCCCTCCACCGTGTCCTGGGTCTACCTTTAGGTCTCCTCCTGCTTGAGGTCCATGTGGCAGGGGTGAGGTGGTGCTCACTCCTCACCCCTGCCACGTGGATCCAAGGGATAAACCATCAACCCTGCTCAATGGTCAACTTTCCTCGCGGGGTCACCCCCATTAGGACAGTGGGTGGGTCAAGAGATGCAGGATCTCAGCTGTTTAACTACTCTAATAAATCGCTGTTAAGGACAAAATGTCATTCTGTTTGGTGTTTTAGTTCATCACAAATATCACAACAATAGTAATGTGACGTTCACGAACGGGTTTTCAAAGTGAATGATGAGAGCCAAGTCCCTGTAGAGAGCTGTTCATCTCGTCTTCCAGTAACTAACTTCCCTGGAAGTCGGCAAAGCGCAACTGTAACCCAACCTCTGTGCACCCTCACGGACACCAGAGGAACATGTTTTCAGGAAGATTCTCTTTTGTGTGTGTGTGTGTGTGTGTGTGTGTGTGTGTGTGTGTGTGTGGGGGGGGGGGGGGGGGGGGGGGGGTTAATGCACGTCACTCATAATGTCCGACTTCCCTACGTGTTTTCACAATCGCTGTAATCAGAAAGGTCAGACAGAAGTAAATGTAAATTCAAATGGCACATTAATTTAAAAGACAAGCCTTTCATACTGAACAGAAATCAGAATTTTTATGCCCACTCCCACTGATTATTTTTCCTGTTTTGCCCCAGTGATGTCATTCTAAATACATGGAATCCCGCATGAATCACGTGACCCACTGGGATCCCAAAGAAACTGTCAGCCTCTAGTATCAATACAAGTACTCTGGGGCAGCCCCACAGAGTGGGATGGAGACATGCCCAATTGTTTAACTGTCTGACCACCGGCCTGTGATTGGTCAGGACGCCCCTTCCTTTAAATGTGTCTACAGCAAAAGAATGGCAGACACAAAGCTGGTGAAAAAACATTTGAATAAATCAGATGATGTGAATGTGTACACACCTGTCTCTGAAGGAGTACAAAGATGTTCAGCTATTGGTGGATGGAATTATGGGAAACGTGGTTTTAGACATAATGAGAAAATGAAAAGGCAGAGGAGAAATGTGTGACATGTTTGTGGTAAAAAGTCTCTTAAATACATGAACAGAATTGTAAATACACTATTGTGCACTAGAGACGTGACTGCAACGGTGGCAGAACCCCTCCAAAAAGGTGCTACACCCACTGTTGTCCTGGTGGGGAAATGTTGCTGCAACACTCTGCAGGTGACTGACAAGTCTCAAAGGAAAACGGCTCCACACTCGAGCTGTTGGAGGAGTATAAATTAGGCAGAGACCAGCTCGGAGAGCAGCCATGTCACGCCAGATTTACTCATTTACACAAAACGACTGGTTTTCAGCGGCCAGTTGGCAACTGGGTCTAAAAAGTCTGAAATGGAAGTTAATTTGCTTTGTGATTAGTTTGGAAACTTTCTGCATGTTCTACATACTACATATAATTTGCGATTGACCATAAACCAGATGATAACATGGATCATTTTGATCTGGACTATATAGTTGTGACTCAGATACATTGGGTAAATACGTTTGATTGGAAACTTTTTAAAATTTCTCTGACTTCCTTTGCATTTAAATGTGCATTTTGTTGTTACTTTCTGTGGCCACCTAAAAGGTTTTTTTTTCTCAGACAAATTATTCTAATATAAGACATAATTTAAACCATTGTTTTATTTTCCCAAACGGAATAAAATGTTTACATTTCTCATCTCAACTTGTAGAGTTGTAGGTCTAACCTCATTAGAGTAATAAGAGTTTGAACCAAGCAGCTTTAGTTTATTTTTTATTACACGTTGTAACTTTCTGCAGTTCATTACAAGACTTTCCTCTTAAACACACACTCATTAACTGCTAAACAATCTCTATAAAATCATTATTGTTGCACTGAGGTTTTCAAGTACAGTGGGTAGAGCGCCACTGGAGTGACTCTAGCTGAGACAAGTATTAGGAGAGCTTTTGCATCCTGCCACACATACCTGATGTGGTTTATGATGAGGCTGGATGTGGGGATGAAGAAGTCCTCCACTCTGTCGAAGTGCCTGCCGACCGGCTGCGTGTGAACAGTGTGATGCGAGACTCTTCCACTGGCTTGATTGATCACCTTGAGAACAGCAGCACAGGCAGGTGGGTGTTTAACATGACCTTGATGAACACACACAGTACCGCTAGTTCCTCCTCATTTCAGCCTAACTTTTATTCATTACATCAAAAGAGGTTAATCATAACAAAACTGACATTTCTTTCATTTTACTGATAAAACTCGTCAGCTCCTCCTCCTGGTGCTTCGCAGTGGGAATGGTGTGTGCTGTTGCCCTTGGTGTCTAAATAACACTTGCACATACAGACATCTAGTTGTGTGTGTGGGCAGAGTTTAATATGATTGTGCCACGATGCACAAAACAAATTGTCAGAGATTGAACTCTGCATCATGCATTCCTGTACTGCACCACAGAGAAGAACTTTCATGTAAAGCCAATATGGACTCACCCTCGGAGTAAACAAAAACATATAAATGTTTTTTTATTCACATGTGATGCAGTCAGAACACATCTAAAGACTTTTATGCATCTGAAGTTGATAAACTATCAAATTATAATCAGAATTATAATGAATATTTATGTTTAAAGCCAACAAGCTTTTTTAGAAACAAATGCTTCACATTTCAAATCTTTACCACTGGACTGGAAGTGACTATTAATTAGATAAGCAAGAAAAATAAATCAATGGAAAATCCCACAGAGGCTGAGTGATTAATGCACCCCTGTCATAAAGATACAGGATGAGAATTGGACTGTGAGGAGGAATTTACATCTAATAACACATTAGTTTTCAATCCCTCTATGGATGGTGAAATAAAAAGAAAACCTTTCAACTTCTTCAAAACAGAAAATACAGGAAACTGTTTTTCATTGATCTTCTCATTTTCATTTTATCTCTACTTCCTGACATTTGCCTTTAACTGTGAGCTTATATTTGTAGCAATCTGACTAAAAACCTAAAGCACTAGTTTTCATCTTTTAAGTGTTTCTTATACCTGTTGACCTTTGAATCAAAGGGAGAAATCAGTTTGTTCTGATCAGATGAGCTACCTACTACTAAAGTGTTAATTACAAATACATTGCCAAGTGTCAGTTTACATTTATAGCTATTCTGGCATTTGGAGCAAAAAAAACATGTAAAAAATTACAGCTGTTTAAATAACATTTAGATGGATTGCATGAGTTGGTTCACTGAGAACCCATTTTTGATTTGTTCTTTTTGAAATATGAACAAGTTAAACTTCTACTTTTTTACCACGATTTCCTGCATTAGCCACCTGAAAAAATACACAAGGAAACACTTGGGTTCTCACTTCGCTCCCAACAGAGAACAATGTTGTTGATTTAGCATCCAAGAGAGTGCGTCTCAGCTAGTAAAAGCTAATGTTAGCATTAGCAACTCCACCACATAGCAGAACTCCTTCGGATGTGTTATTCGCGGAGATAAAACATGAGTGTTGCAGAGCAAAGGCATTGGAAGAATCAGGCTGCTGTTAGCCAATCAGAAGAGATGTTTGAGCATCACAAAGAAGGAGTAAGACTCCAAATTCTGTGCTTTTTTTGCCACCTTCTCCTCCGACTAACTTCTACTCCCTGAAAAAGGAGCACCAAAACTTTTCTTTCACAGAGAATGACTCACAAGGCAATCCTTTATACTAAAGCCTGCTGAAAATGTATTTAAAAATGAGTGAATGAGAGCTTTTAAATGGCAGAAACACGTTGTAACAGGGTCAATTCAGGCTAGCTGTTGGCTCATCTGACTGGTCAGAACAAATCTCTTGTTCTCCACACTGAAACTGTTTCAACCACTGTTTGTATTTGAGCTGTTAATTAACTTTAAACAGAAAGTCACTCTAAAAATCCAAACTATCCTTTTAGTTCATTAACTTTAGTAGCTTATTTAATTTTTCATTAATGACACAAAATGCAGTGTTGATTAAATGGTGGAAAACAGCTCAATATGTGTATTATTCTGGCATTTAATTAGGAAAAGAATAGCTTTTTTAGCCCAATTTTATGATGACTTTGTTTTTATTGCTGGTGTGTTTGTGCTTTTTTGCTTCATTTTCTGCCTAGAATACTCTTGTAAGTACCAATGAAACAATGATAACATGAAAAACGTAGACCAACCTGCAGGGTTGGGAAGTTCTTCTCTGCATCACCCCAGCTAAGCACCCACACCTGGTCATGAGACTTGTCATAGTGGAGCTTCACAGGATAAGGGTCGGTGCCCACAGTCTGAAAGATGACACCAAACCAAACCACCACGAGCGGTTAAAAACAGCCGGGCTGCAGAATAACAATTGAAAGCAATCTAGTTATTGCTTTTGAAGAATTCCCTTGATGTGAAGTGGTAAAGTGTTTTAAAAAGTTTCCCTGCACACTAATGCATCGGGGGTCGATGGGAGCAGGTCTTCTTTTTCACAAGGCGAGCTGGAGGTGTGCTGTTTTATGTGTGAACCGCGTTTAATGTTAAGCTGCATTTCAAATCGACTGTTGACAGACACAATTGCTTTGCCACACTGGAGTAATTGCTTCAGTCTTTCTCCGTTCCTTGACACTGTGGCAATATTCCAGGCAGAACAATAGATGAGTCGCATGTGACACTGAGGCACTCCTCATGCATTTTGTCCACCTGAGCTCAGACAGACAAGCAGCTGAAAGGGAATTTTAAAACAAGCACCAAAAAGAAGAATGCAGCAGGAAGAAGCAGTCAGATTTTACTCAAGCAAATCACAGAAAACCTGTGTTCCCAAAGCCAGTTAGGATGGAAACATTTCCTGTGTTATTAGTTCTATTGGAGTCCTAATTGTATTGTTTACCTTGGCGTATCATATATCGTATCACACTGAAGGTAAACCACTCCTCAGAGGGTTTGCTGAATAAGATGAGAATATCAGCTGAATCCTAACTAATCTCTGAGCACGCAGTCATCAGAGAAAACAGGTGTTCACTTTCTCTCTCTCTCTCCCGCCTAACAGCTTCTGTCTCACTGACGAAGATTATCAAGATCCTCAGCCAATATGCTCCGGTGAGTTCAGCACAGGCAGCAAATCTGTCAGACATGAAGGGCCGAGAACACCATATTTATTTCTGAAGGTTACCTGACGCCCCGTCATTAAAAGTAGCTCTCCAAAAATCTATTTTTAATTTTAAGACATAATAAGTACCTGCATCACTAATTCAAAAATTGAGCAGTTCTGTGAGAAAAACAGCAGCATGCAGAGAAACACAGAGGCATAGTTTGTTTGAATATTTGAAGCAAGTGACAGGTTCAGGTGGTTAATTAACAACTGCTAACATAATCCAGTGCAGCTAAACCTCCAGGCAGCTGAATAATGAGCCTGTGACAGGCTGTGGGACAGCAGCCTGCTTACTGGCAGGTCCCTGAGAGGCTTCAGGCCAGTAAACAGTCACCATGGAGTCAGGAACATCTGCAGGGATCTGAGCCACCCTGGATGATCAAGGAACACCCAAAACCCCACTGACTCCACTGGTTTAACTCAACACTGACCTACAGTACTGTGCTGGATCTAGGAATTGTGCCATTTCCTTAGCAGGCCTCATGAAAACAACAACCCCTCAGGAAAATAAATGCTGTTGCGAGCTGGCAGATTGTTTGGAAGGTTCACATAATACAGCATCTGTGAGGAGAACTGCCAGAGTCGCCATGCGACAAGATCCAGAGGTCTGCAGGGCGACAATATCCACGAAGAGGTGGATCACGGGGTTATACGGTCGTCACATCAATGTGAAGGTTAACTGCAGATCTTGACAGTTGCCTTTTGTATGAAATAGGCCAGGTCAGAGATTAGCAGTCAACAAAAGGTGAGACAGCCGATCTTAAAGCTGAAAATGCCGCACTATAGTGAAATTGGGAAGAATCGATGCACTGTCAAGATGAGTAAAAGCCTCAAAGTAGTGGCAGATCTAGAAATGAAATCATCTCATGGAGAGTGTGACGAGCCGAAAAATGACCTTTTCTCTGTGAGAAAGAATATTTGCCCATACAGTTGAAATAAGTTAATGTAAAGTAGATGCTCATTTGCACTACATATTTGGAGAATGTAAAGCACTGCAACAACTTCATACCCAAAACACAGAGGATGATCCGATGCACATATGGGTCAAATAACATGAAATCTTGGTAGGAAAAATGTAACATTTAGTGGCGGAAAATGCAATTATTTATCATAATCAGTCTCAGGTAAACGGTTATATGCTTTCATGAATCGGTGTAGAAAAAAACCCAGGATCGAAACCTTCAGGTGTGATGGCACAGATAAAAGCTGATTTATGTTTCAAGGTTTTCATTAATTCAAAGAAATGTTTTTAGTCTTTTAATTTTCCTTGCTCTGACACCTTTCAATGTTCTAAAAACTATCATGAACTCTGTTTTCTAATTTATCCAGAAAATTACCTGGACAGCTTTCTGAGACTGGATGTCAACTATGAGCACTCGGTCCAAGGTTGGCTGTGTCACATAAATAAACTTGTCCTTGATGTTGACAGCTGATGACCACACACACCTCTGCACTGTCTCACCAGGTGAGGCAGGGCACACCTCCTCCTGCAAAGACAAGAGCACACACACACACACACACACACACACACACACACACACACACACACACACACACACACACACACACACACACACACACACACACACACACACACACACACACACACACACACACACACACACACACACACACACACACACACCATGAGCTAATTGGTTTTCATTTTACAGGAAAATATCTCATTAAAAAACAATTACTTAACCTAGCTGCTTTTTCTGTTTAAATTTGCAGCCTTATCCCTAACGCTGATGTGGGTATCTTGGCAACTTAGATAAATTAGCTTAGCTGGTTCCTGCAGAATCTCTGTAATCACTCTCATTTGTCCACAAAACAAAGCCGGCAGATGATCTGTAGCTTTGCTGGCCAGCAGGATCCTTCCCAGATTTCCATCTCTGGAGCTTTCCTGCACCTTCTCCTGCAGTCCTCTGAAACTTCAGGCTGAACACAGACGTCCAAACTCTGTGGGACAAATTGTGCTGCTGCCTGCCAACAGAGGATGAATGTAGGACCTCACCACAGCGGGATGAACTTTTATGTTTACAGCCAGAGTCGGTGCATGACAGGCGCTGGAGGCAAGTTTCTCCTGAAGTTCATTTTTCTAATTCATGAATGTCGCAAAACCCAAACTAGTATATTTGTGTGCTTGTTTAAGGTAGTTTTCTAATTGGAGCCCACATTAATAATAATAAAATACAAGTTTGAATGCAAAAAAGCTACAATCTATAACCTAGGGGGTGAATCAACTAGTCGACTAGTCGACTTCACTGCTCTGTAGTGACTTTTTATGCCTTTCATCGACTAGTCGCTGTCACGTGATAATGACCGACAAGATGCAGTCCTCGGAAATGACAGCAGGTAACGAGCCCCTGCGCGTCGGGAGGCGATGCGCTGCGCCAGAGCATCGGTATCTGACGCCCGCGGTAAAATGGACATTTGACTGAATTGTGACCTTTACCCTCTTGCAATTTAACCTTCCCCTCACCCCCATCCTAACCTTAACCAGCTTGCGTATGCAAAGCTCTGATCGTTGACGCGCTTCAGACATCTGCGTCCTGAGCACGGCCACAGTAACATCAAATCAGGTGTCGCCACTTCAAAAACTAATTTAACACGCGATCGTTCATGTCGGCTCATTTCCTTTTATTATGCTTTCTGTCTTTTATTTGTGTCCGATGCATTTCGCTGCTGTGGAGCGGAGCTTATCACCTGTTTTGTCCTCCAATGATTTCACCTCACCGGTGCAGCCGGCAAGCAGCGAGCACTCCGCTGTTTTTGCGGTCGGTAGATCTTTTAGAACTGCAGTTCAAAGGTAACTCATGAGGTGAATATATATGAACCCAGGTAGCAGTTTTTCTTTAGGACTGAGAGGAGATGCAGGAAGATAATAAACAGACAGGACAGAAAAATAGTCAAATAAAAACAAGTTAGTTTTTGTACCTGGAGGTTGCAACAAACAGACACCATTGAAGGTAATCAGAAGTGAGGAACAGAAAATGAAATAATTATTTTAATGTTTAGAGCAGCAGGAACTCCGAGAGGCTGCAGGCGCATCAGTGAGTTTGTGGCCACTGCGCATGAGGAGGGGGGAGAGGGCTGAAGCAAGATGCAGAAACTACCGTTGTTAAAAGAAATGTGTTTAACTTATAAAAGGTGGGATCAATTTTAATTGTCAAAAACTCCAGCGAACCAATCCGCTTCAAGTGTATGACGTCATCAATGACGAGTAAAAGTCGACTCGATTTTCATTACTTGACTGTCGACTTTTAAAAAAATTAAGTCACGCAGCCCCTACTATAACATATAAGTTCCTAGATTGCCCAGATTCAGATGCATCTCTCAGTGCTTTTGATACGAAGCAGATTGGAGGTGTTGATAAAAACAGAAAACAGACATTCCTGCACTTCTGAGGGAAAACATTGAGTCATTGGTATTGAACTCTGTGTCACCCCTGCAGACCCACACTGTGGTCATTTGATTCTACGGGCTGTAAATATCTTTCTTATTGCGCCTTTAAGAGGTGAGAAATCGAACATCTGACACCCAGTGGAGGGCGTGAATGGAGGCGGCTTCATTTCAGTTGTATATGTCAGTCTGTGTGTGGGGGCATATTTTATATATGTGATAACTGACAGCTTGAAAAAGGATGGAGAACCTGCTACGCTTATACAAGACAGTCAACATGTTAAATGAATCTCTGCATATACGACTGAGTAATTCTCCACTCCTGGAACAGTAAAGTGATTTCTATTTATTTAATTCTGAGACTTTACTAAAGAGATATTTTTAAACCTTTTATGTGGAGGAATGTGCAAACAAGTCACTCATATGGGGGTTGTGATATTCAACAGTAAAAGATGGATTTGTGACATTAAAACCGAGACATCACAGTTAAACTGAAGTGGTATGCAAACTGCTGTCCACTTCCTGGTGTTGAAGGAGTCCAGTAGGCCAAAACACTTGTTCCAAATGTTAGCCAGCTCAGTAGGAAATAAAGCTTTGAAGTGTTGCATCTTGGCATATGCATTTACTAAATATAGAGGCTTGTAATTGGATTTGATCCCTTGGATGTTTCTAAAATACGTGGGAGAATTTATACAGATTTTAGCCATGCGTCCAATCTGTTAATTCCTGCTACACCAGCTCGTAGCTCATCACAGTTTACAGTAAACAACATGCAGCAAGAAAACCTGACAGTCAGTTACATAAATGTAAAATGAGTTTTGTTAAACTCTAAGGTCCTTAAAATAAAAGTGAATAATCTTAAAATTGTATTCATAGAAAATACTAGTTCGATATTTTTATGTTTCGCAATCATGCAAAACCTCAGAAGTTTTATTCTCGACAGTTTCAGTACCTTCCAGAATGAGCTGTTTCAGGGCTCTGTCACTTTAGCAAAACAAGCTGGAGCTGGCCATGCCCACCCAGCCCCTGCTCAGGCTGCTATAAGCTGAGAAGCTCTGATATCTGGGAAGGGCTCAGAGTAGAGCTGCTGTTCCTCCAGTCTGGAGATGTGAGAGGTGGTTCTACGCACACCTTCACCTTTTGTGATGTCACAAACGGGAACATCATGAAATAGTTTGTTTTAAGCACATACTTCTTCAAACCAAATGCTGAGAAAAAAATCAGATGGGTGATTTTTTTCCCACATTTTGAGCATTTATGGAGGTTGTAGAGACTCAATTGGCAGTCCAAAAGGATGCAGTTTTACATAATGTCTCCTACATTGACTTACATTGACTACATTAACTCTCCAGAACATCTGAACATCTGATCTGAACCCAATTTACCCTGAATGTGTGTCGGCTAATGAGACTGGAAGTTTAAGCCTGTGACATGCATAACTCGATCCATATGGATTCCTACATCTAACCAGTTTTGATTCTTGTTGCAGAATAAAAGGGACCAGGGAGATAATTCAGAAATGACATTGACACGTTCAGTTACTGTCTGATTAATGGCAAGCAGAGCATGTCTGAATAAAGCTTTACATAATGACAGAATCACATTTAACAACTAAACAGGACTCAACACAATGCTGTGGCAGCAGCAACAAAACCTGATTATAGCCTCTCCTCTAAGAGGCTAACATCAAATACGTCCTTGACTCTCTCCACTTCATGTTAACATCAAAATAACTTTTTTCCCCCCAGCATCACAGTGCATCACAGCTAAATGTGCCATATAGTGTGTTATAATACTGGATGGGGTGTGTGATCACCATAACAAATCAATCAATGTTTCTCTGTGATGGGAAAAATGTGAGCGCCGTGCTGGGAATGGCCTCGTGTTCACAATGCAGTCCAGTGAGACGGCACTGAAGCTGGCCTCGCAGCACTCGCAGTGATTGATAGCCTAATACAAACACACCTCTCAGAGGAACACTTGGCTGATTGTTGTGCATTCATGGCTTCGCTTTATGCATAACCACCATCCAATCAGCACCAAGCTCCCAGATAAAACAGCAGCTCGGAGGAAAATGTCCATTTGGAAACACGTGTAAATCTAACAGGTATCTATCAGTTTTCTGTTGTTGCTCCAGAGCTTTGGTGGTAAACAGTGATTGGGCAGGGTGTAAGAGTCCGCTGAGAGGCGAAGCCGTCTCTCATTTCATGTAGTCTGTCAATGAGTTAAATTAAAAAAGGATTGTTTTACGCTGTACGGAGATGACCCCCACTCCCCATCCTGTGGGATGCTGTAAAAGACCAGACTGATCTGGAGAATGTGGTATTATTATTACATCCCTTTCAACTGATATGATCAATTTTATAAATAAACATAAAGTGACTAAAGGTGTCCCTGACTCAGAGCTTTAGTTACGTACAGTTATATCTTTCAGCTCACCTTTCTTTTAACAGACTGCACTTGTGCGGTCGTGTAATTAAGACATAAAAGAGAAAAAATGAAATACCTCAGGCAAAGTCAGAAACCAATTCAACTCACAAAACCATTTCGAACAAACCGTGCAGTCTTTTAGCCCTGAAAATAAATAATACAATGCCAGTAATCTTTTCTTAAAAAAAAACATGCACAATTTGTCATATAATTTGCTAAAATAAACAGTTCAGTGTCGATTTACGACTCTTGCGGGTGCTTCTGTTCTACTGTCAGCTTTCATCTCTTTCAGCTTTCAGTGAAAAACTTCCCAAATTATCCGTGCTGCCAGTGCTGCAGTGCTCTCAGTCCATTAATTTAAAAAGTAGCAGGAAAGAAGACGGCACGGTACTTCCTTTTGTATGGGTCACTGACAGAGGAAGACATCATCGCTATTCATCATTCAGGTGCTTCTAGAAATATACTGAAGGTCTTTGTGCTAATTATGTCTGAGCACTAATTTACACTGACTGAGTGAATGACGTGAGAAACACTTAACTCATATCTGTAACTGCCTAATGTGCATTATTATGATGACATGTGAAAGACTGTTGGACTCTACACACCAGCAAAAGGGAAATCGGTGATTTGCTGAAGGATTTTTTTTACATCTTGACTGTTTTTCTGTGATCTTTCTCAGGAATGCAGGGATAAATCTTTGGTTTCCTCCTTTTATTTCTCCACATACATTTATGAATTATTAATGTAGGATAAAACAACTTCCAAGAGCTTCTAACAAAGTTGGAAGTTCCTGGCAGTGTAAATTATAACTAGTTCAAAGCAGAGCCTTGTGCTGGACTATTTTTGTAAAATCCCACTTCCACCAGCTCCCACTGTCTGTCTTTCGTTCTTGCACTATGCTCGCTCTCGGCTCTCCGTACATAGAACAACAAAAAATAAAGTTTAAAAGCACTGCTCAATTAGTCTGACTGGCCATGGCACACCTTCTTTGTTTGCATATATCAAATTTTGGTTTCTTCTGTAATTTCTTGTTCTCCATTCTCAGATAGACTCTCTGATTTAATTAGCTACCTCAGCTCTCCACCTTCTAGTAAATCCAGGACTGACAAAAAGTCCGCTTTTTGCCTGTGGTGGTCTCAGTGACCAGTGGCATCTGTGAACAACAGCGTTGCTTCTACCAGTGCGCCCCAGAACAACTGTCGCTACAACGTAGGTCATCATCACCAGCGTGTGAATATGTGTGAGTGGTGGGTGGATGATGGGTTGTACTATGAAGCACCTTGGGGGTTGTAGATTCCAAAGGTGTTATACCAAAAACAGGTTATATTATTAAAATGTTAAACCACCAAAAAGTTCCCAAGCGCAGCCACAGCTGCAGCTCACCGCTCCTCACAGGGATGGGTCAAATGCAGAGATGAATTTAACTAGTGTGTGATGACTAATAATACTGGTTTGACTTTATATAGCACTTTTCAAGACACCCAAAGCACTTTCTATTATTCATGCACTCTCACATTCACACTCTGCCGGTGATGGGAAGCTACTATGTAGCCACAGCCACACTGGGGCGGTCTGACAGAGGCAAGGCTGCCATTTGGCGCCGTCGGCCTCTCTGACCACCACCAACACACGCAAGTCGGGTGAAGTGTCTTGCACAAGGACACAACAGCAGAATACCCCTGGCAGGAGCTGGACTCGGGCTCATGACCCTCCGATCATGAGGCAACCCGTTGTACCTCCTGAGCTACTGTAGCCCCAATGGGACTTTCAAAACATTGAAAACAGAATGTCAGGAAAAAGCCAAAAGTTGAGATCAAAAGCTTCACATTTCATTTCCTAACCACTCACCTGCAGAGCTAGGAGCTTCTCACTGGGCTTTATGTGCCGTTGTATCTCACATGCCACCGGCTGAATGACTTTAATCCCATCTTCATAAAACACATAAAACATGTTTCCAATGCCAAGACCTGCAGGAGAACAACAGCAGCTCAATTACAAAACACAGCACAATGTGAACACACAGAAGCAGCAATGCTGGTATCTACTATTAAACTAGCAAATCATTAAATCCTCCTCATCACAGTTCAGTAGCTGCATTACACAAATTCAATTAATGCAGGTTAATGAATGCTACAGTGGAGAAGGAGCTTTCCAGACATACCTTCTTCACGCCACAAGATGTTCGCCACTGTGAAGAAGAATAACAGGAATGCACAGTTGAGAATGGATGCAAGAATCAATAGGGCACCACTATGAGAACTAATAATCAAACAGCAGGTTCTGCTGAAGCAAAGAGGAGAGCAGACAACATGAAAGTTTTATGGAAAGCTCCCACTGCAACACAATCGATCACGTCTTCTGCTTGGCAATAATTTGATACCAAACACAGGAAAATTTAGTGCTTGCAGCAACTGGTGCCATAGAGAACAATTTACCATTTCTAATGCTGAAAAGAAGGAAAACTATCAGGTAGTGGTCTATCAATATGAACAATAAACACCCACTAACAGTCCACGGGTCTCATCCTCAAATGATCACCAGAAGTCATAAGGAAGGATTTTTGTGCTCCCACTTTTGTGGCACAACCTATCTTGGCTCCTGTAACAGGTAATTTCTCATTAAATTCACTTAGAGGTGACTAATGACATGAAATGTGGGATGAAAGCCACATAACAGACTCTGAGTGCTTTAATGGGCGATGTAAAACACCAACTGACAGTTGGCTTTAAAAGCAGCCTCTGGATACTCTCACAGAGGACATGCCATTAAATGACTAAATTAGTGATGTGGTGAGAAGATATATATAGCAGTTACTTTTCATGCAAATATGAAAGCAAATCCTGCTTTCCAGTAGATTTTATCCTCCAACGCCACCATCCTCTCAAACCGACTCGTTAACTGTGACCTTCCCCTATTGTTCAGCTGTCCCCCAGTGTTCTCTCCGCTTCCATTTTCAGTCTGCAAACCAATCTGTAGCCCAGTTCACATCCGATTTTAATCTTGCCTCTATTGCAATGCTCATTCTCGCAGCCTCTTGCTCAAGTGGACAGATGCAGGAAAAGAAAAAGGAGGAGAGACAAAGCCAGCGAGACGCCACTGTGCTGTTAGCCATAATCTTTCAAAAGTGCTTTGTCAAGTGTTTCCAGTGCACTCTTGCATACCTTTTACCTCATTAAAAGTTTGACAAAAGGAGCGAGTCTATAGATAAAGGAACAAGGAAGAACTGAAGGGCAGCAAGGACAAGACAAAAAGAAAAACAATGCAATTTATTTGAGATCTGCCAAAGAGGAAAATGGAGAAAATAGAAAGGAGGAGTTGAGATGAGATCTTGTGTGTTTCGGTCTTTTCCAATAGCCCCAAAGTATTGAAGCAATTCATCACCTGGTAGAGAGACTGTGGCTGTTCTGCGCATGCGATGTGCCCATACATCAACTTCATCATCCATACAACAAAACAAGCTGCCTGCCACTGTAGGCGGCGAGTTCACTCTTTCTGGCTGTAATGATTATGTTTCCAATGGGCTCCAAACATTGGGGTTGTCGTTCCTACCAGCCAGTCTGGACTCTGCAGTTTATACCCGTCAGCAAGGTTACACTAATTCAATTTGTTTACAAGAGCATGCTGCTATGACAGAGGTCTAAACAGCCCGTAGTGTTCTCCACAGTTGGACAGCAAGGAAAAGGGACTGCATAATATAAGAAAAATAATTAGATTACCACAAATGGGAAAAAAAATCAAACACTGATCTTAAGATGATTGCCTTGGGTGTGCAGTTTCTTTTTCTTTTGCAGGGGTGATCAGAAGAAAAAGTCCTTGGAAAATTGACTCCTGAGTCTTTAATTGCAAGCACTACACCAATAATTTGGAAAGGAATCATGGGTAAAGCTTTCTGACTGCTCCAGCCACATGAGGAAAACATAAGGAAGTGAAAAAGTAATAAGAACAGGAATAAACATATTCTTGGTTTAAAACTAAAGCCAAAGCAAAACTGAAGTCCTTCGAGGACAGGCAGTAACAGATAGGCAACATGACTAAATATCTTCATTTTTTTTTTTAGATTAACCAAAAAAGGCCTGACTACTGAGGACCTCTAAATTTGCAGTTAACAGGAACAGAGTATAAACCTAATGTACTCATAGTTATTATATCACTCGTAAAACTCCTGTCTGAGAAGCAAAGTCCTATACAACCATACTAACTTATGAGTTCTTTGTTTTTTTTTTCCTTTTTTTTGCCACAGCTCATATAAAAAGGGCACATCACAAACAATGTCTACATGCCAATGAGGACAAAATTAGCATAAAACTACAAGAACAGCAGTTGGTCTGTCAGCAAAATGAAAAAAAGATACTTTATCTATGCTTTCCTACTTCTATCATCACACGTTCTTGATAGTGACAAAGCTGAGTACACGAGACAGCTGTTCTCATCTGCAAGCAGTTACACCGATTTTGTCAGATGCTGTAATTATAAAGAAAGCCTCAGCTTTCTTATTCCTTATAGATTTTGGCTGTGCTAAATTTTGTTGTTTATCACTAAAAAGACAACAAAGGTGTTCATGTTGTGTTTCATTATGAACAAATGTGCTGTATCAACCTGACAGCTTCATGTAACCAATTAAGCCAGACATGCACTATGTGAATCACATCCCATTCTGAGAGAATTGTCAACCATGTGTGACTATCTTTGAGGTCAAGTTTTGTGTTGTGTGTCTCATGTGGTATGCGCGAGGCTACAAAACACAGTTTACATCTCATTACTACCTCCTGATTGGCAATTGTGCCATTGCATGAAAATGAAACATGTTGAAAATTCTGCTCGTCCCTCATGAGGGCATTGCACTGTTGAAGCAGCAGCATGAAACAAGGGTACCAGAACCTTTCACTCAGCACTTGTGCAAGCATGTCTGCCCAGGTATTTGTGTGTTGTCTTTTTTTTCTTTTCATACTTTCCCTACTTTCCGTACACAAAATGGAAGGTGTTGTCAGGAAAGCCTGTTTGCTGAGTTTTTATCAAATAAAAATGGAGCCCTAAACCTCAGTTTACTTCTTAAATGACATTCATTCATTCTTCTTTTAGCTCCAACCCTCTTGACCCCCTGCAAGACCTCCTACAAATATGGCAAGCCTCAAGGACGGCCGACAGAAACAACACAACAACGTCCTCCTCTGGGTTTCCAGAGTCAAATGTCCAATATGTTGCATGAAAACAAGTGCTGCTACCACACGTACAGTGAGAGCAGTCGCATTGGGTCGAACAGCGAGAGAGCGTGACTCATGAGCTTTGCCCTCGACTAAGTCGTACAGTTGAAGACGGAGCTGAATGCAACAAGTTGTGCAGTGTATGCCCAATTCATGCGGTCCTTTGTTCATCTCACTGGTTGAATTTGCTTATAATGGACGTTGACAGGAAGTGTCAGTCCTTTTTCAATCACTCTCTAAGAAGCTTTTAAGGATCAAACAGCCAGTGGAAGTAAAACAAAAGAAAAGCCTTACAGGAAACTTTACAATGATTGCTGAACATCTATTTCATGCACTTGCAGCATCAAATATTACAACTGCTGCTGAGCCAGAGGACTTGACCTCCAGACAAGGAGGAGTGAGTGACTGCAAATTAAAAGGATTTGATACTGTACCAAAGGTTGAGAAATCTGAAGCGGTAAAATAAATAAATAAATAATTATATATATATATATATATACGGCTTACTGAATAAGCCGTAAACGTATTACTTTAACAGCTTACATCTGTTTTAGGTTGGTGGCCTCAGATGAGCCATGATAAGAAGAAACTGATAAGATTTGACATGCAACTACTTTATTCTAATTAGAGAAAAAGGTTCATCACCATCATAATGTTATTTGGGCAGCAGTAGCTCAGGAGGTAGAGTGGGTTGTCCAGTAATCCAGTAGAGGGTTGTAGGATCAATCTCTGCTCCCAGCAAAGAATGCTGCTGTTGTGTCCTTGGGCAAGACACTTAACCCACCTTGCCTGCTGGTTGAGGTGGAAGGGACCGGTGACGCCTGTGCTCATCAGCCTCACTTCTGTCGGTGTGCCCAGTGATACACTGTAGTGTAAAGCGCTTTGGAGTCCTCTAACTCTTAAAGGTGCTGTTCAAGTGTGAGTCATCATTATTCTATTCATGAAAATACATTTTCTTATAAATCCTAACTGTTCATATGCATTGCTTCTGCCAAATCAATATTAACCATGAAAACTAGTCTCATTGCAGAAGTATCTCCCCAGCTAAAACATTTGAAATCAGGTGGAGTGGAGGTGCTTTCTAAATAAGAGTGATGACTGTACTTGAACTAGAGCGGGGAGTCTGCAAAGGACTCGAGTTTGTACCGTGTCATCAGAGAAAAGTATTCAGGAGCTTAATTCTTGCTGCAAAATCCCTGAGAGTTTTAAAGAAGACTTGATACTGTGAGAGCCTGAGGCATGCAAAGCTGTTTCATCATAAACAAACAGGATGCATGGAAAGTAAATACACCTGTGTGTAACTAGTAGATTTATGTTAATAAATTGCCTGGTTATCATATTAAATGTTTTTAGCGTGGAGAGGTAATTAAAGCTGATAAATGTACACGTTAAGTTCACTTCTGTATAAAAATATCCCTTTCATCTATATTTTTACACCTTGTTTGGGAAATGTTAATTTTCCTCATTTTAATTCAAAAACAAACGTAGGTGTAGATGAGAGGGGTTCAAAGTTTTGCTTGGATGCCTTTTGAAACCCTCTGAGTGATTCTGAACCTCAACTACAACTGGAGAATGTTAGAAATGTGGTCTACCAGAATAGTTAATAGCTGCAATTATCAAACATTTTATGTTCAGAGTTCATAAAATGCAAAAACCAATGAAAACACAGATTAAAATAGTTTTAAAATGGAAATGTGTCAAACACAATAAAAATGTGTCTTTTATTAATCACATGTTTACTTTTATTGAGAAACAAAAACCCTCATTGACTTTTAGCAAATGTGATTAAATAAAAAACAACATTACCAAAGGGAGATAGTCAGACACTACTGATGTTGTTTTTGAATGTTCAAGCCCACAAAACAAAACAAAAAAGGAATTCATTACACTTCTCAGTGGCCTAGTGGTAGAGTGTCTGCCCTGGGACTGGGAGATAAGGGGTTCAAATCCCAGTCATTTCATAACAAGAACTCTAGAAATAGGACCC